TGCATAAACTTTTGGGATTGACTGTATAGCCAATACATCCTTAACACGTTGACTGCCGTGTCAACCGTATCCGGGTTATTTACGCTTATTTGGCTATTTACAAAGGATCGTCATAGGCATTTGAAAAGATATTCCGCAGGATGTAATAAAGCTATTGAATTGTTAAAATGGTCAATTGTAGTTTCTTCGGTATTACCAGCTCTTCTTTCTTCCTCAATGATCAATTCTTGTAAAATTTCGTTAATAGTATCTTGATGACACTCAATATCACTACGACTGCACTTATCAATATCCGAATCAGAATCAGACGATTACTACTAATTGCTACTCTCCGAACTTGTGTAATCCTTGTAACAGCTTTCTTTTTCACTGCTATTTGCCTTACTAAGAAATAATTTTCCATTTTTCTTTTCGACATTGGAACGAATTCGGGCAGAGGTTTTAAATTATACCGCTCGTTATTTGGCAAAGATTCGGACTGATCATGTGGAGTGGCGAGGTAATAAGTGATGACCTCAGGAATTTAATAACGTAAAAAAATGACCAAACATGAAATCATGCAAACAAACGAAACAGGAAGTTGTTCTTGCGCAGCGGAACTCGTGTCCTGAAGAAAATCTCATTGGAAAACGTGTTAATCAGTCCGACAAACAGCGGGCGCGAGAATAAAGAGACATTTATAATTCACCGTACAATTATCCGTCGAACTCACTAAACCAAACCGGTTGATATTTAAAAGAAGATCCTGGGAATTATAAATAAGATCCATGCAATATTAACGTTTCAAAAACACGTCTGTCAAAAAGCAGCAGCCTGACGAATCGAGAATATCTACGTTCTTCCCTGATTTGTTTTGATCTGAGAGGACACCAGCGTTAGAGATTATTCTCACGGGTTCCGCGGGACGTTGATTATCCTCTGACAATTTATTTCTATCCATCGTTCCCCGAATACGTAACACAAGACGATTCTAGGATATCTCATTAATATTCCGGCTGGCAATTAATCTTCTAATTTCTATTTAGCCGATCGAGACGATATTGTATCGTTACTCCGTTTAATACCGTACCGCTAATGCGATTTCCAACTGGCAATTACTTATTAATAACGGTTTTCGCTATACATTTATCGGTTCTTACGACTGTTCTCCGTGCCGCATTACAGATAACAAGAACTGATCTATATTTTCGCATAAATGGATAGTAATAGAAGCAACTGTTTCCATTTGTAAGTGAAAATCCGTTTGTTTAAGAGACACGATGATAATTCCTTCTAAAAATAGTGACTATAGGAATCCTTCAAATACTCTCTGATCAAATTCGTTGTTACTTAGTTCGCAGAGGATTCGACTTGCGAGAGCCGTCGATAAACCGACAGACCGATTTCTGTTCTGAGCGATGCTTAATACTCGTGAATAAAATCGAGTATGGACAGTTTCTATGCAGCCGTGATGATCCGCGGCAGCGGCGCGGCAGAGTTATTAAGCTGGCAGCCGTTGGCGACCGATGGTCCAATACCGGGAAAAGCGGTAGAATTTAATTTAAAAAATAGGTTTGTCGGTACCGCCACCGAGCGACGTCGTCGCCTGGCGTTTTTTATATTTTTAATTTCCAAACGGAGAACGTCGTTTCTATCTGTCACTGACACACCGACGCGCACTCCACGCGTCCCTACCTACTTTTTTTTCGAAATAAAAAAAGAGAGATAGAGAGGATCGGCGTTGTCCTATCGATGTATGATTTGGCCGCTGATATATGGCGGTAACGTGAGCAAAAATGCGGGGCCGATTGAATTACATCGAGTTACGTGTCGTTACGCAACGCACGACCTGACCGAGGTTCGTACGTACATGCGGCAGTAGCCGGAGAACGAGAGAGACAGACCGGACTACTCGGCAAATTTATAGTACGACCTTTTGGTTACGTTTGATTTTGAAAAATCGTCGCCGTACGAAATTACGATCCCGCCCACGCCGAACGATTTTTGGCACGTGCGCGTCCCACCATATTTATTTCTCCCACGTGTTCCATCAAGCCCTCTTTCGCCTCCGGTGTACCGGGAAAATATGCGGGCCGAGGAAACGACGCTTTATAATATCACGGCCGACGCTCATCGTTATGCATTCTTAAGTGATAAATCTCGAACGGGCTGCAGATTTTTCGGCGTCGCGGATCTTCGATCCTCGCGGTCCGACGCGACTCCTCGCACGACTCTCAGACACGAATGTTTATCGAGTTTTCAAGAGCTGATGTTCAGATCGGATTATCTCGAACGTAAATTAATAATTAATATCACGGAGAACATAAGTAGTTTCTCTAATGGTCTCTTACTGACGTGCGATCCATTTGAATTTTTCCACACGGAGTGGAAAAGCTCCGACTCGTGATTGACACGTCTGACATTTGAGGAAGAAAAGCTTTCAGAACGTGGAAATAGAGTCACGTACATCCACGTGAATGCATCATTTTTCTATGTCGTGTAAGTCAACCAATTCGATGTTCGAAATTTTAAAGATTGTATTGAAGGTCGGTCGCAGAACGCGGGATTATATAAGCGCATGTAACTAAAGAGGTAGTGTACGTACGAGCTAAGAAGAATATATATAGTTGGATGCATCATTACTGAACGGAAAATAAACTTTTTCTTTGGCTGAAACCGGAATACATAAATAAGAAGAAACATTTAATGTAGAGATGATCTATTAATGGTATAATAAGACAATTAACCTTGGAATAGGAAATGGATCGATAATGACTTTGTTATTCGGTCAACCGTCTTTCAGTATGGCTATTAAAAGCCTCGTGTGGTAATACATTTTAAAAACCATTAAAAGTCCTGCCGAATTTGGTAATCGAATCCATATGGTACATAGCTATGTTCTCCATGTACCGAGGCCCACGTTTCAAAACGAGCACACGAACGTTAAGAGGAAAGCTTGTTAGCTTCTGATTCTCAAGTGTTGGAAACACTTTAGATTCAAAGATAATAGGAAAGTTAATCAATTAAACTAGGAAGTTAAGTAAGTCAATCAATGACGATTTCATATTCAATTGCGTCAGATCGCCTTCCGGTAGGAATATTTAATATTGACTGAAAAGCTACAAACACGACGATCTTCTTACGTAACATTAATATTCATAAGAAATAACCATTTGCATCCGAGGGATCACGCGAATATATAAAGCCTAACAAAGTATCGCATCATTTCCATTGCTACTACACATAAACGCGAGTTCGGAGGCTAAACAGAAATCATGAGTTTAGTGCGGTACTATCACTATCTGAACACTGAGTTGTCTGGTAGGTGAGAAATAAATTGGTGAAGGATCCTGAAGTATTTAAAGTGTTTTTTTTTTTCAAATTCTACAGACCCAAGGACACGCGATTGGGTATTAGTAAGTTCTCCTGTACCTGTAGTTCTCTTAACGTTCGCGTACTTGTACTTCGTGTTAAAATGTGGGCCGCGGTACATGAAGAACCGACCAGCGTACAAACTCTTCACGTTCATCAGGATATTCAATATCTTTCAAATCATAGCGAACGCCTGCTTGATGTACAGTTTGATCGACGTAGGATTGCACGAGGATAATTTCGTGACCTGTTCATCGCATTACCTGCACACCCCTGAAGGATACAAGGTATGATTAACGATAGGCAGAATTTCTTCGATCCATTTAAGACGATCTTTCGTTGCGCGTGAGAATTGACAATTTGAAAACTGTTTGCAGTTGTGTCACATAGGATGGTACACGTTGATCGTGAAACTGAGCGATTATATCGAGACGCCTGTGTTCGTGCTGAGGCAGAAGCAACGACAAATATCGTTTCTACATTTGTATCATCACGTCACTACGATGATACTGTCTTGGATATACGTGAAATATTTCCCGAATGAGACGACGATAACTCCGTTGCTTTTGAACTGTTCTGTGCATGTGATAATGTACACTTATTACCTTCTCACGTCCTACGGTCCATCGATGCAAAAAAGGTTGAAGATGATTAAACCGATGATCACTACCATACAACTGGTAAGCAAAAACTTGAAATCTATGTGACTATTATAATATTTGTGACAGACAATAAGTGCTAATTACTGATCTGATCTTTTTGTAAATAGGTGCAGTTCGTGATTATAATATTTCTCTCGCTGCGAGTAATTTTCGTACCAAAATGTACCGGAGCAAAAGTCTATGCCAGCATACTTCTGATCGACGTAATCGTGAATTTCGTTCTGTTCTCGAATTTCTTTAAGCAAAACTATTTGAAGAATAATAAGCTCGAATGATACGTGAAACTGGATCGAACAACCACTTTTTAAACGAGCGTTGATTCGGTTAATTAATTTTCTTACCGGTCAGCAGTTCGAGAAAGCGTATCGGCCGGTGATCGGGATAATGACCATCATCGGGAATCGGTCTTCCCTTTGGGGTAGAAAGAACGAAGATGGGTGCGAGATATCTCGGCAATTCGAGATAGAGGAAAGTCGAACGCGTGTGCGAGGGGAAAAGAAAAACGCGGAAGGTTAGCCGGTCTCTTTAGCTCCGTCGCGGAGGGGTGTATGCACCGTGTACGTGTACGGACGGGCGGAATAGGTAGGAAGATATCGCCGGGAGGGGTTGGCCACGTGGCGCCGCGGCGCGCCACTCCGGCGCCAAACTCCCGCACACCCCGTGAAGCTCAGTTTCACTTCGACCCCCGAACCAGACGACGACTCTCTCGCCGCCCCCGGGAAAACTACTACTACTACTACTACCAGCACCACCGCTACTACTACTCGCGAACTGCGCCCGCTTCGCGCCATGTATCGACCTTGTTTCCCTCTAACTTCCCTTAGCGCGACCTTCGACCCGCGATGACATGCCCGCTTCCGCGTCTGCCACGAGGAATTTCGACGAACGACGTCGTTACCTCGAACACCCCTCTCTTTCATACTGTTCGAGGGTCGACGTAATAGGCATTGGTAAAGGAGCGAGATGAATCAGAATCAGGAAAGTAGCACGAGATACGATTCGGTATAAATTGTTTCTACTAGTGACGAATCGTAATAGAGAATCGTCTCTAATCTCGGTACACTCGAGAGACTGAAAACTATTCGATCGAGTCGATTCCTGGCGGATTTGTAAGTTCGAAAGAGAGAAGGAGAACCGGCGACGGGTCGGGCAGGTCGTGGAGTGGCCATCGTCGGCCGGGGCTAGGTCGGCACGGGAGTTTTCCCGTGCATCCGCCATCTTTATGGTTACGTCAGCATGTTTCAGTTGCCGGATCCCGAAAGTTTTCGCCCCGGCGACAAGATATTTCAAGTGGTCGCTCGGTCGCTCAGTCGCGATCGTCCCGGGCGCGCGTTGAAATATTGGACGGCTCTTTCTTGCAGCCGCATATTCTTCTACCACCGCCATCCGCTCGCACCCAACCCACCACTTCTCTTCATCGGCGCTAGCCGCCGGAGCCAGGCACCCCGAACCACCCTCGAACGGGAGGCCCACCCATCGTCTTCGTCATCCGCGGCGCTCGCTTCTTTTTCCCTTTTTCTCATTCCCCCCCGTCTCCTCGCAAAAACTTCGCAACTTATGAGTCGCGTATTAAAGCGGCTCGTCGTTAACTACCCATGAATGAGTTACACGGGGCCGACGCTAATTCTCAAATTGTCCAAAAAGAAACGGGCAAGTGTCTATTAATCCGTTCGCCGCTCGGGCGTGGGTCGAGGAAGAGCTACGAGGAGGAGCCCTTCCGGTTGGAAGATTGGTGAGGACGAGTGAGAATGGGACAGCCCGCGAGAGGAGAACGCGTTTCCGAGTGAAAAACAACGAGTTTCTTAAGGAAGCTGGAATCTTGGACACGCGATACTTTATCTCGATCGTTCTTACCCCGGCTCTGGTCCGCCTCACCGTTTCCTACGCTCCTTTAATTGAGACTTTATGAGGAACCGTTATATACCGTGTTCTTTGCCCCGTTCTTTTTGATTAAATTCTTTCTTTGAAACCACGTACCCTAAACGAAACGAATCTCGACCAACACCTCTCCTAAGAATTACGTCCATTCAAATTCCTATCGGTGATCAACTGCTCGCGGATAGCCAACGAAGAGCAATTTGGTACTATTAATATGACTCGTTGTCATCCGGTGGCATGGAAAATTCAGGACGCTCTAAACGGTTCCAAACTTAAATCCCGTGTTTACAAGATTCACGACGCATAACGTAGAACCCTGGAAGCGCACGAAGACCCGGGAGGGTTAAAATTTCAGGCGGATCGTGCCGGGAAGAGCCGAGCAGCGGGGAGCTAATTGTGAGTAATAGATTGTCTCCAAATACGGCGTTGATCGCAAATCGGTAGAAGAGAACCGAAGAAACGGGACGAAAGAAAAGGTAACGCGTCTCGCGAGAGGAGGGCCCGCGATTCGGCGTCGCGACGACGTCGGTGGACTAAAACTGTCACCCCTGACAAATCTACGGGCGTCGGTCCCTGATAAATTCAATTAAATAATTATACCACCTCTTCCCACTCTGGCAGCGCGCGGCTTCCTTCGCCAAGAACAGCGCGTCTCTACGTATCGCAGGGAACGCGAGAAGCCATTTCTGAAGTTTATAGCCCGGTCCCGGATCAGCCGTGGCGCTGAGGAGCGGGTAAGAAACGCGGAAGGGCGGTTCGTCTTAATATAAAGCGAGTTGGTAAGTTTGGTGCAGCCAGCAGAGGCTAACTTATAATGCGATTTGTTTAATCGGCGCCAACTACTTTGTTCCGGCCCCGCCGCCGTTTTCCGTCGCCCCCCTTTTCGAGAAGAACGACCCATCCACGGATACCCTTTCTTCTGCTTCTTCTTCCACTTCTCACACCTCCCCTTGTCCCTCCGCCGCCGGTCTCGAAACGATCCACGAGTATCGAACGACACCCTCTCTCGCTCTCTTCGGCCGTCTTTTCCTCCGCGGCCGAGTCAAGGGTCGAACGCCACTCTCCGGACTACGTAAGTACAAGAGCAAAGAGTGAGCAACTTTTATCCTCGACCCCCACGCGCACTGCCGACCACTCGCTCCGATTCCGGTCTGCACGATTTTTACGATCCCGTTTCAACGCCCCGGGTTGCGGCTGTAAAGCGGCCTTTCCTTTGCCGAAGCCGAATAACGTCGCGGAATTTTTCAGCTCTCCTTGCAGACGATTTATCAAAAAATTTCTGTCGCAAAATGATGTACCTACGATTCAGTTAAATCGATGGAATCCTATATTTAAATACATGTACGAAGAATAAATATCAGAAGAATCGTCGACGACGATTCGGTCAGAGAAAGGATTTTAGATCCTGCTGAATCGATCTATGATTTAATACGTCGTGCACCTACGTCGAGTTTAATATCAATTAAATGTAAATGAAGTTATCGCGTAATTGCGATCCGGATTTAAAGTCTTTGTCGCGTTAATTCGTAGAAAATCTCTCGATGCGATTAAACGTCCGTTAGGCAGCTCGCATGTATATTTATGATCCGTTTACAAATCGAGCTAGGCACCACCAAGTCGGAATCATCCCTTTTACTTCGCGCCGATCCACCGTCACTCCAGTTTCATCAGTCATGCCTCCGACAAAGTTACAAAGCTTACTAATGGTAAAAAGAAGACTCCCGACCGAGAAGGAGGATGCGCGTTCATGAAACGAGGAATCTTTTGTCGAAGAAGTTTCTACCCCGCGGAGATCGCAATGTTTTTTTATGAAATCTTGTTCCATATTTTTATCAGATCGCCGTGACCTTTGAAGTATTCATTAACTTCGTTTGAAAGCATTAACGCGAGCGAGATAGTATTTTCATTTAACATTAATATTCTGTTCTGTTGAATTAATCTAAATTCTTCCATATACAAAAAGTATTTTGCCGGAGGACACTGAGAAGGACGAGCATTAAAAATCTTGAACGACAAAAACCTCGTGTAATTGCCGCAGTGCTTGAAACATTTATCATTCGAAGGTGATTAAAGAATTTCTCCCTAACGCTGCTTAACGACCCTTCGTACAATAAGAATCACGATCGAGAAAGCGGTGAATATTTTCTCAACCGAATCGACGATACTCATTAAAAATATTGTTTCAAAAAATCCAGGGAGATAGGAGAGGCAGGACAAACGTAAATGGAGAGCGTGGCAGATCGAAGTCACGATCGACGGATGGATGGTCGTTGCCATGACGGTCTTTTCAGAACGAGGGAGAAGCGAATGTACATCTCGTTGCTCTGCGGTCGGCCATTGATTCCAAAGATTCCTCGCCCTTTCATTTCCGGCAATTACGCAACGATCTTGCTAATTTCGAGCTCTGCGAAGCCCGAACCATTCACCGAAACGCGATGCCATGCTCTCTGTTTTCTAATTACCTTCCCGGCCACTTCAATTGTTCCCGAAGCCTTACAATACCGTATCACCGTTTGGGAACAACCAGACAGTATCTTCTGACGAACTTCAAATTGATTTGTCACTTGGATCATTTAATATCTCACGGTCCATCGTCGAACACGGAATTAAAATCATGCGAACGATAATTTCATGGTTTTGGTTGAAACGTTAAAAACCGTGAAAGAAAATTTTACTGCGATTTATCGTAAGTGAAACACAGTAGAGAGTGAACAGATTAAGCTTACAACCTGATCGTTGAAACATGATCAAACAGACGTCGAACCTGATATTAGGCAGAGAGTAACGTGGTGACAGTTATTCGATTCGACGAGCAATCGACCGTGCTTTAAGGACCTATGAGCTTGAATACTGTTTGAAAAGCTTTAAAAGTGAGTGAGTGGGTAAACAAACGCCGGGGTTGTTTACCCTCCTGAGAACGTGGAGGAGAGCAGGTTGCTGCTTCTCTTCGATGCCGAGGGATCCGTTGATACTTTTCACTGTTATCGTGACCTATCCCGTTTCATTCTACTGGTACAGATTTCCAGATCCTGATCATTCGAATGAACGATTACAACGTGACGTTAAGCAACATTTCTGTTAAACGACGACAAAAAAATTTGCGTAACGAGTTCGCGTGTCAAAGGGTTGAAAATAATTTTTCTAACGAACGTCGCGTAGAAAACAGACACGGGTTCGAGGTACACGCGTTAACTAAGCGACTCTCGAGATGAGACGTCTTCTGACGGCGTCGTCGAGGGGGACGAGAGGAAGCGTCGCTTAGATGGCTACCGACCAAGCGGCGATGTAATTATTTCAAGGCCACTGAATACGCGATCGAGCAAACCCCTCGCATCGGATCATGCTGCTCCACTGATCCTGAGGCGTCGCTAATCTCCGATCCTTTCTAGGAAGACACATAGGTAGCTACGC